CTATTAAGAGATTTGTGGCAGATTCAGAGCACAGATGGGTTAAGGCACATTGAGGAAGATTTCTGCCAAATCCATGCATCGGATCAAGAGAGCAGCTGCTAAAATACCATTACAAAGCAGCAAACAGATATTTGAAGCTGCTGGTGCCTCTGGAGTCCCATGGACATCAAGGTGTAGAGTCCTCAGGAGTCTTGCAACTGTGCATAAACCTTCTATCCGGCCACCACGAACCAATGCTCACAAGCAAAAACGGCTGCATTTGGCAGAAAAATACATGAAGACTAATTTTCAAACAGTCCTGTTCACTGATGAGTGCCGTGCAACCCTGCATGGTCCAGATGGATGGAGTAGTGGATGGTTGGTGGACGGCCACCCTGTTCCAACAAGGCTGCGACGTCAGCAAGGTGGTTGTGGAGTCATGTTTTGGACCGGAATCATGGGAAGAGAGCTGGTCAGCCCCTTTAGGGTCCCCGAAGGTGTAAAGATGACCTCTGCAAAGTATGTGGAGTTTCTGACTGACCACTTTCTTCCCTGGTACAGAAGGAAGAACTATGCTTTCTTTTTAAAATCATCTTCATGCATGACAATGCACCATCTCATGCTGCAAAGAATACCTCTGCATCAATGGCTGCTATGGGTCTAAAAGGAGAGAAGTCATGGTGTGGCCTCCATCCTCCCCTGACCTCAATCCTACTCGAACCTTTGGAGCATCCTCAAGCAAAAGATCTATGAGGGTGGGAGGAAGTTTACATCCAAACAGCAGCTCTGGGAGGCTATTCTGACATCTTGCAAACAAATTCAAGCAGAAACTGTCAAAAAACTCACAAGTTCAATGGATGCAAGGCTTGTGAAGCTGTTATCAAATAAGGGGTCCTATGTTAAAAAGTAACGTGACCTGTTAAAATGTTTAAAAAGTTAAAATGTTGTTATAAGTTTGATTGAAATAGCTTTTGATTTCAGTAAATATGCTGCAAACACAACAAATTACAATTTTCAGTTCTTTACAACCTATAAAGTGTTTTGAAACTTACTGTGTATAATAATTGCAGTGCATTGTAAGTTTTTTATGTTTTAAAAAAATACTGTTCCTTTTGGACCCCTGGAGGCTCCAACATCCAGGGGAATGGGACTACACGTTCTTTTCAGCTGCACACACCACTTATTCACGCATAGGTCTATTCCTCACTAACAAAATTGGCATGCACTGGATTAAGACCTCTGTAATCAACCCCATATCGTGGTCTGACCACGCAGACATTGCTATAACCTTAAAAATCCCAAGCAACCACACACCCTGGAAATGGAGGCTTGATGCCTCCCTCCTCAGGGACCCACATATAAAGCAGGACCTCCAAAAGGAAATTGTGCTCTATTTCCAAACTAACGACACGCCAGACATATCCCCGACAACCCTCTGGGCGGCCCACAAAACAGTAATACGAGGACTTCTCATAAAGATAGTGACTCGACAAAAACAAAAAAAATATGAAAGACTTGCAGACCTACAAAATCAACTACGTAAAATAGAATTACAACATAAACAAGCGGTCACCCAAACCACGACCAGAGAACTGACAGAAATCAGATGATTAATCAGGGAACTACTGATCGACGATATTAGTAAAGAACTCATGAGAACGAAACGACTTTCTTACGAAAAGTCTAATAAAATGGACACCCTCCTCGCGAGAGCCCTTAGACCCAAAACCACCACCACCTCAATAACCGCCATAAGAAACAAACACGGAAAAGTTCTCACAAACCCCACAGACATCAACAACGAATTCACAAACTACTTCACAGCTGTATACAACCACTCCCCCACACTGACAGGAGACAACACAACATATGCTACGGCTGTGGCATCATTCTTAGACAAAGCCCAGCTCCCACAACTAAAGGAAGACCTAACATCACCTTTAGGGGATCCCATAGACGCAGAGGAGATGGACAGAGCGATAGTAGGGCTCAAAGGGAACAAGGCCCCGAGTCCTGACGGTTTTGATGGTGCATACTACAAGGCCTTTAAAAACGACCTCACACCCCACTTGACCAACATGTATACAAGATGGACGGAAGGAGAGGCCCCCAATCCAGACCTTGCGACCACAATTATCACACTCATTCCCAAACCAGGCAGAGACACCACACAAGTGGCTAACTACCGCCCCATTTCTCTCATAAATTTTAATGTGAAAGTCTATGCCAAGGTGCTAGCAAACAGATTGAATCCCCTCCTTACAAAATACATACACGCAGATCAGATGGGTTTTATACCCACCAGACAACTGTACGAAAACATGAGAGCAACCGACCTCATATGGTGGGCTGGAAAAACCCGGGCGCCTTCTCTGGTCCTTTCCCTGGATGCAGAGAAGGCGTTCGACAGAGTCCAATGGCACTATATGTTCACTGTATTACGAAAACTACAAATACCAGACTTTTTCATAACGGCAGTGAAAACCCTATACTCCAACCCCAGAGCGCAAACTGTCATGCAAGGTGCACCACCGTGCCCCTTTGACCTAACAAATGGAACACGCCAGGGCTGCCCTCTATTGCCCCTCCTGTTCATACTGGCCCTAGAACCTCTGCTACATCTAATACGATCCCACCCACAGATAACGGGAATTAAGATAGCAAAGGCAGAATTCAAAGTCTCTGCCTTTGCTGATGATATACTGCTCACCCTCACCAACCCAACACACTCAATCCTGTGCCTCCTCACTCTATTGGACACGTACAAACAAGTCTTAGGTTACAAGATTAGCCTAGACAAATCAGTGGGTACGCCGATACGAATGACAGAGATGGACGTTAACTGGCTGAAGCATACAACTAAATTACACATAAGCTCCAGACCCATCAAGTATCTTGGTGTCAACCTGACCATTAACCCCAATGATCTATATGCAGAAAACCATCAGCGAACCATGAATATCCTTATGAAAGACCTAGATAAATGGCACGAAAAACCCATATCGTGGATAGGGAGACTGCATAGCGTCAAGATGAACCTTCTCCCACGCCTCCTATTCCTTTTCCAAGCATTGCCAACAAAAGTAACCAAGGGGATCTAAAAATGCTACAAACCGCAATAGACAACTTCATATGGGCTCGCAAGAGGCACAGAATAGCAAGTCAGACTCTAAATACCCCCAAGAGTAGAGGAGGACTGGGACTGCCCAACCTCTACCTCTACTACCTCGCAGCCCAACTTGCACAAATAATAGAATGGCACTCACCACCAGACGCCCATAGATGGGTAGACTTAGAAACCCTGCTAATGAGTACAGACCTCCCACAGTTCTGGATATGGGTACCTCGAGCCTTGGGAAGACTACACTAACCGCTGAGAGACACAAACCCATACAAACACAAACCTGCAAGTCTTGACTGCGAAAGGCGGAATGATTCAAGTAGTTTCCCCAAATTAAACTGAAAATGCAACGTATAATGACTTCTCCAGTTTCAAAATTATTCAACCCTTCATGGCAAGCATTTTAGAACTTAGTAGAGAACCCTTTCGCTATTATGACCTGCGTCAAACAAGATGCATAGCCAGACACCAGCTTCTGGCAGCGTTCCTGAGGAATCTTAGCCTATTGCTAAGTTCTGGCATGGAAAACTTGTACGTTTAGAATGTGCCTTGCTGGGCTCACTGAAACCTCAGTCCATGTTGCCACCAAGTCTTGCTGCAGGTCTTTTGCAGTCACTTGAAGGTTTTTCACAACCTGCCTTCTCAGAAATCTGGTTGCAGCTATTGATAGCTTCCTTTTTCTGCCCTGCCAAGTAGTGTAACCAATGTTCCTTCAACTTTGAACTTGTGAACAATGCTTCCAACAATGTCTCTAGAAACAGTCAGTGCATTCGCTATCTTTTCGTATCCTGTTCCTTGTTTGTAAAGGGCAATAACGTCTTCTGTTACCTTTCTGGACCATTCGTTCTGACATGCAGTCACACTCGACAAACCCCAAGCCAGTTCAGGTATTTCAAGTGTTCCAGCTCAAGCACACCTGGCGCAACTAATGAAGCTCTTGATTAGTGAAATCAGGTGTGCTAAAGACAACACCTGTTTTGCACATTTGTGCTGTTGTAAGGGATTCTATTCAGGGGGTTGAATAGTTTTGAGATTGGAGAAGTCATTACAAGTTACATTTTAGTTGAATATGGAGAAACCACTTTAAAAATTCATTGTGTTGAGCAATTTCAATTGCTTTTGTTTGATTTGTTCAGTGCAAACAGCTGAAAGTCTGTACATTTTCACAATAAACCTGATTTTCAATGGCGGTTGAATAATTTTGATTACAGCTGTAAGTGCTAAATAGTGGTTTTGTGGTGATTGCTTCCTATTTAGAACTTTGCTCTAGAATAGCACCTGTTTTTGACTTGCTACATCCCATCTATTTATTCATACACTGCATTCTTTTTTAATTTCTTCCTATTCATTCCCTTTTATTTCAGACCCTGGCCAATTTTATTTTTATACATATTATTCCAAATTATTATTATTTTTTTATTATGGAAGGCGAGTGCTATTAATTTCTCAACTGTATTTTTTGGTCGGTAACATTTATTTGCATATCTTAGCAATTACAGTGTATGGTTTTCCCCAGAATAAGTACTTGGTTGGCACATTATATTGAAAAATGATGGTGGAAGTGATTAATTTTATCACATGACAGGAGGCTTCCTATTTTGCATAACTCTCTTTACTAAACTCCATAGCAGTAAAGAAAGTGAAACATTTAAACCAATCAAAATGCAAATAGGGAGTATGTCATCCCAGCAAATAGGCTCCTCCTCCTCTTTCTTTACTGCTCCATCGCAGACAGGTCAGAGTTTTTGGCTCTTCCCTATTAACTCATAATATAGTTTTTCTGTACATTTATAATTGTTACTTATGTTTATTTACTTTATTTCTTCTTACTATCTTTTTACTTTCCTTGATATTTCTGTATTTTAAACTTTCCCTTACTGGGACTCTTTATTTTGTTCCCCTAGTCCCAGTGGCTTAACCGTTTTTCCCGCTCTTTTTCCCGCTCGTTTTCTGCCCTTGGGCGGTCCCCCGAGTTTAGGCAGGTCCCCTGTCTTTGCCCCTGCTTTGCCGCCCTTGCCGGCTTCCTCTCACTCATTTCCTGCGGCTCGGCGCCTGCCGCGGCTACACTCGCGGCGGCCATCTTTAAAACCGCATCTCGCGAGATTACGGACGCCATCTTAAAAGTGCCGAGAGTGCCGCCAGTACTGCAAGGGACACACACGGACGGACTTTCTAACCGCAAAATACTCCACAGAGGTCAGTTAAAGCGAAAGCTGTGTAAAGCACATAAGGTATTAACCTGTGCTTACTTGGGGTGCTGCCCTTAACTGTGCTGCTATAGAGGTCGCTTTGTGGCCACCTCTACAACCCTGGGTGAGACCCAGAACAAAAATCCCAACTAGTGGTGTTGTATTCTGCCCTGCTGGGGCTATATATATTATTATTTTGCCACCATTGGCACTATATACCCTGCTGGGGTGACTTTGCCACAGCTCTTCTTCGTCTCAGACCTTACTGGTTTAACCTTCCCATACATACCACTATATACCCTGCTGGGGTATCATATATATTTACAACCCTGCTGGGGTTATTTGTTTTTTTCTCCTCAAACCAATTTCATTCCTTGTATAAGCCCTGCTGGGGTAATTTTGTACTCTGTACAACAAAACACGTTATTGCACCCTGCTGGGGTCTGCATAACAATATAAAACAGCTTAGTACTGTCTAATACAGCTTACTGACCTCTATAATACGCCCTGTGCCAACACATATTCAGGCATTATGGAGACCTCTCAGACTACAGAGCTCCAAACCATGGTAAATGAGGCCGTATCCGCCTCCATGGAGAAAGTTCTCTCCAAAATGATGACCTCTAATCCCGACAGGAAGAAACCATCAAAAACCCACACAGCCCGCCATGACTCAGATTCTGACGAACCAGAATCACGCAAGAGCCCAGAAACCTTCACGGGCAAACGCCATTGGAAAGGCGAAAAGGGTCACCAAAACCCTAACAAAGGCAAAAACCCTGCTAAACGCACTAAACCCGCTATAGCCGCCACCCCGAACCCGCCACACGAGTACTCTTCGGAAGAAGAAGACTCTCACGCCAAATCCATGGCCATCTTAGACGAATGGCAAGCGGACGAGTCAGATTCCAACGAAGACGTTTGGGGCTCAGATTCAGGATCCCAATCCTTCTTTCCACAACAAACGTTCACGGGAGAACCCCAAGAACCAGACACGGAAACCCCGCGGGAAGTTGAAGATACCATTTTCGACCCGTTGGGGCAAAAACTTTTTGATCCACGAAACATAAGACACCCATGCTCAAGCGACTGGACACCACCAGACCACTTAGCGAGGTTCATGCACCTCTGGTTAAGGAAGTCCATGGACAAGACAGTCCGCAACCGCTTGAGGTCGGAATGCCCATGACCTCTTCTACCTGACCATGTTGCGGACACTCCAGAATTCGACCAAGTGATGACCACCTTTATGTCGCGAGGTGGCCGCGACCCACGCAAAGGTGTGGAGAAAGGGTTCAGAGGGGTACAAGATAAACTTCTGGACACTGTGGGACCATTATCCAGAATTATGTACTTGGCCGACGATGCCCTAGCCAAAGCCGATCAATTTGACGCTACTATGGTGCGAGAATGGGCGCATGATGTGCGGGAATGGGCACAAAGGTGCTTTTGTTTTGTGGGTAATGCCAATGTCGCCTTATCATCCGAGCGACGTAAAGCAGCACTTCTCCGCATTGACGGAAATTGGTGGAGTTGGGCACCAAAGAACTCGGTCCTATGGCACAGGGCAAGCTCTTTGGAGAACTTTTCCTAAAAGAGCTAAGTAGACATGTAAACGTCTACACATCCTTAAACAAGGCTCAGACATCAATGCGTAGAGTCTTTAGACAAAACCCCTCCAGGGGTGTTTTTGGACGGGCTGGCCGCCAAAGGGGCCGTGCTGCCAGCCGCTTCTGGCCATCAGGCCCCCGCTCTACGAGACCCCAACCTTTCTACCCAGAGGTGGGATACCGCCCATACTCCTACACTCGAGGCGCAGACAGAGGTCGAGGACCATGCACCCGAGGCAGAGCTCGATTTTCCTCAAGTAGGCAACCATTTTACTCACTTCTCACTCCCAATGCATACAGCAGGTCGCATATCTCTTTTCTTCCAGGAATGGGCCTCCATCTCCACGGATGCATGGATCCTACAGACAGTACAAGGCTACGTCATAGACTTTGTAGACCAACCACGACAGATGGAACTACCACGTCCTATCCACTGCTCAAGGATAGACACCTCTCTCATCGACGACGAACTTCAAACCCTATACTCGAAAGGCGCGATCGAACCCGCCTCCGACCCTCAGGGTTTCTTCAGCAACATCTTTTTGGTAAAGAAGAAAACGGGAGATCTACGACCCGTCATAAACCTACGACAACTCAACGAATACGTCACTTACAACCACTTCAAGATGGAAGGCATACATCTTCTACGAGACCTGCTACAAGACAAGGATTGGTTCACGAGACTAGACCTCAAGGACGCTTACCTATCAGTACCCGTCCACCAATCCTGCAGACAATACCTTTGTTTCCACTGGCAAGGCCTTCCTTGGCAATTCACGTGCCTCCCCTTCGGCCTCAGTTCAGCCCCATGGTGTTTCACCAAACTGATGAAACCCATGGTCGCACATCTTCGAGCGCAAGGAATTCGTTGCATCATATACCTGGACGACCTCCTGCTGTTCTGCTCAGACAGGCTCCGACTGGTACGTCACACACGGTATACCACGGATCTCCTGTCATCCCTGGGCTTCATAGTGAACTTTCAGAAATCGGCTATTTCCCCATCACAAACAGTACAATTTCTGGAATTCGAGATAGATTCCATCTCCAGCACCCTACGGCTACCGTCGGCAAAAATCTCAGCCATTCGCAAGGAATTACGCAGGGCCATCCGCTGCCACACCATTCCACTGCGCACCCTCGCACGCATTGTGGGACTTCTCTCGGCTTCCATACAAGCTATATTCCCTGGTCCCCTCCACTACAGGGCGATGCAGCGCCTCAAAGCTTCCTTCCTCAGGAAAAACCCCTCATACGATCAGCCAATCCCGATGACAGAAGAAGTCAGAGACAAACTCAGATGGTTTCTAGACAGCATGGAGGCATGGAACGGCCGAGCCATCTTCGGAAGGGCTCCCAATATGATATTAGAATCAGACGCCAGCTTCTGGGGATGGGGCGCGACGAGCGAAAATACATCGACAGGAGGAACCTGGACATCTCAAGACCTCAACATGCATATAAACTGCCTAGAACTCCTAGCAGGGTCATTCACCATCCGAAGCCTAGCGAAGGACAAGTCGGATTGCTGCATCCTCCTCCGGATGGACAACATCTCTGCAGTCCGCTACATCAACCGCCTAGGCGGAGCCCGTTCCTGCCTCCTGTCAGAAATCACGAAAGAGATCTTCGATTTCTGCCTACCCCGCAACATCTCCCTCACGGCAGAATATCTCCCAGGAGAGACAAACCTCACAGCAGACTGGTTCTCACGTCACTGGCGGGACACCAGCGACTGGAAACTAGATCCACAAATCTTCAACCACATTGCGGATCGCCGAGGACCACTCCACCTGGATCTATTTGCGTCCCGCAACAACAGACAAACGGAACTGTACTTCAGCTGGCTCCCGGATCCGGAGAGCGCTGCAGTGTATGCATTCCTTCAACCATGGCCGATCACGGGAGCCTACGCCTTTCCCCCCTTCGCCATGATAGCGAGGACCATACACTACCTGAAGAATCAACAAACCTCTCTAGTGCTCATCACTCCACTATGGAGAGGACAACCTTGGTTCCCGGATCTCCTAGCTCTTTCATACAAGGATCCTCTTCTATTACCCCATCATCAGTACATTCTCACAGATCCAAGAGGACACCCTCATCCACTCATCCTGGACGAGCGTCTCCATCTGGTGGCTTGGACACTTTCAGGGGCTCCTGGCAAGTCGGCGAACTATGGGACTCATGGGCCCCTGGAACCAGAAGATGCTACCTATCCGCTTGGAACTCCTGGTCCACTTGGTGTTTGGAACGGAACATCGATCCATTTACGGCCCCTATTTCAGCCATTTTGAACTTCCTATCCCACCTATTCTCATTAGGTCGGTCTTACAGATCACTCAACGTAATTCATTCACCTATTTCAGCAGCTCATGTCCCCATACTAGGGATTCCGGTTGGTAAGGACCCACTGGTGTGTCGACTTCTGAGGGGCATTCGATTACAACGCCCTCCAGGCCCGAAATATTCTCGATTCTGGGACGTCGACGTAATCCTCCGATTCCTGAGAGACTGGCCAACTAACGACAGACTCCCCAGAAGGAGTAACATTCCGGATATCTCGTCGCACTAAGACGGACTCCACATCTGTATTTTATCCATTCTTCCCCATGGATCCACAACTCTGTGTCGTCTCCGCTCTACGTCAGTATGTAGAAACTACCTTACCACTCAGGTCTACACCCTCAGGTCAACTCTTAGTATCATACGTTAGACCACATGTTCCTATTACAACAACCACCCTAGCGAGATGGGTTCGATGGTTACTATCGCTAGCCGGCGTGGACACTACATTCGGAGCCCACTCCGTACGCGGAGCAGCAGCATCCTCAGCCTTCATGGCGGGTGCCTCCATAACGTATATCCTACACTCCGCGGATTGGTCTAAAGAATCTACGTTCCGCACCTTCTACTTCCGACCGAACTCCGGTGCGGCCATGTCTCTTATACAACAGCGTTAAAAATGCAAAATAGGAAGCCTACTGTCATGTGATAAAATTGAAGATTATGCTAGCGTTAGTGTACTTATAATCTTAATTTTAGTAATGACAGGAGGCGAGTATTTTCCCACCCTTCCCACCCGGAGAGGAGGGGAACTACTCTATTCATACAGCTACTACTGTCTCCTTTTTTCTTCCTTCTTTTTCAGTCAACCAACATGTTGGCATATTGTATCCTCTATTACCATCAGCCTATCTATCTACTGTTAGACTATTCTCTGAATTCATAATATATACTGTTTCAATGCTATCCGATGGATCAATACAGTTTAGTAAAGAGAGTTAGTAAAGAGAGTTATGCAAAATATTCGCCTC